ACATTAGAAAAAAGGTATAGAAATGAGATGGTTTCACAGGAAATTCTTTGTCTGAACTTCTAGAAGTAGCAGCTAAGGTGTATAACAACAAAGAAAACACAAAGGACAGATGGACAAAAGAACTGGGTTCAAACTCATAATTAATAAGACTGTTGGTGGTCTATGGGTGTCCAGCTTTTGCACAACAACATGAGATTAAATTTCTGGCCTCTGGGGACAACAACATAAGATTGAGTCTGTCTGAAAAGAGATCATATACCTTTAACCTCAACACTAGGGAGCTGGAGACCAGAGTGATATGGCTGGGGTGGAGAGAGGTATATATCGCAGGAGATGTCAGAAGCCAATGGCCATCTGAGGTTTGGTGGAGACACATGCAGTCTGAGGACAGGATTGCTCCTTTGGCCTGAGCATTTGTAGAGGTAAGAAAACTTTCTAGTTCTGCTCTGCTTTTATGGTCCTTCAGCTTTCCTCCCCAGATACCTCTCTCTAGGTTGTTTTATTTTTTATTTTTTATTTTTTTGGATTTTTTGAGACAGGGTTTCTCCGTAGTTTTTTTTTTTTGGTTCCTGTCCTGGAACTAGCTCTTGTAGACCAGGCTGGCCTCAAATTCACAGAGATCCACCTGCCTCTGCCTCCCGAGTGCTGGGATTAAAGGCGTGCGCCACCACCACCCAGCTCTTGGTTTTTTTTTTTTAATAATTAAGACAAACTAGAATTCATGCTACACCATCTAATGTATGTATGACTAGACACAAGTCAACAAACTGTCAACTCTGTCCTCAAGATGTCTGTTTACATGAGCAGCACAAATTGTAGTGTCCTAGTGGAGCTCCTGTTTGTTCAGACGCTGGATGCCTGGAGTCAGCTCTGTGCTTTGGAGCAATCTAGCCTTCTTTAGGCAACTTCAGCAGTCATTTCTCTGTGGGTTCTGAATGCCCAGTTCATCAAGCAGTCCATTCAAAAGCAGTTTCTTGCCCAAATGGCTAATCAACTCCATAAGGAGACTCTTCAATGCCCATCTTCCTCTTGAAGTAGACTGGTGCTGCCAGAAGCAGATGTGTCTCATTGTCATGAAAAGCCATACATTCTTAAACATTTTAAATGACATATTCTATAGTCTTTGAAAGACTTGAAATTTATCTCTGTATGTCTAGGAAACCTAACTATCATGACTACAAACTTGATTATTATAGATGACTATTACATTATGTTTTTAAATGAGCTGCACAAACATAATGCCTTATCAAGAGCAGAAATATATATATATTTATATGTATACAATATAACAAAATTGACCTTCAATCTCTATCTATAAACCAAGATCCATACCCTTGCAAATCTCTATAGTATATCCCCCTTTAAATATAAACAAACATTTATAAACAATATTTGGGAATATAGACATAGTTGTTGCATGGAGAGTGGGGGGCCCTTTTTTTCCCTCCCAGCCACCTGACTAGCTTACACCTGAAATAATCACACAGAAACTGTATTCATTTAAACACTGCCTGGCCCATTAGCTCTAACTTCTTATTGGCTAATTTTTACACCTTAATTTAACCCATTTCTGTTAATCTGTGTATCACCGTATGACTGTGGCTTACTGGCAAGATTTTAACCAGTGTCTGTCTCAAGCAGGAGATCCATGGTGTCTGCTACTCTGCCCTTATTTCCAGCATTCAGTTCTGTCTCTCCACCTACCTAAGTTCTGCCCTATCAGGCCAAGTAGTTTCTTTATTGATTAACCAATGAAAGCAACACATAAACAGAAGGACCTCCTATGCCACATAGATCTGTCCAAACTTCTTCCTGCTGTTTATTGGGTGAAGTAATTTTTGAGGGGTATTCAAGGCAACTTTTTAGGGGGTCTTGGTCCATTAAACCACATTAGTCTGGAAGGATCTGACAGGTTCTCATCCTCTGTGGAAACAAAAGAAGAACCTCTTTTCCAAAACAAAATATTCTTAGACTCAAATTCTGAAGCCAAGATACCTTCATGTTAGTTTAACTTAGCAGTACATACAATGAAATGTCTTTCTGTATTTAACTCCTTCTCAGTCAAAAAATTCAAGAAGACACAATAATATACATAATCCAGACTCCTTATATATATTCTGTCTTTATATGGGCTATTTATTCCTACAAGTTTAATATTTATTTTATTATCTTTACTCCTATAATCTATGACTGTCTGTACTCTGTCATTTTACTCATTTTCTTCTCTCTTCCAAGCCTACATACATTTATCCAATACTATGACTCATCTAGCAGTCTTTTATGCCTGAACCTGTCATATTGTGTATCTGTAAATCTTTACTGTCCAGGAGCACTTCTTAAAATGCTAAGCACTTCTTAAAAACTTAATCTATGCCATTACTAGGGTTTATACAGACTTTCTGCTTGTTCTGTTTAGTCTGACATGACAGAGGAGGTCCATTCACTGCCTCTGAGCCTTGCACACTGCCCCAGTTCAAAGTATGCTGTGGATCTATGTCGAGCCAGTAAGCAGTCTTTAACCTGCTGCTTACAAATCCCATTTAAATGCTCAGCCTCCTGAAAGAGCCAGAGGTTCAATCGCAGCATGGACCAGAATGCCAGCATTTCTTTTTTCCGGCTACTGCTGAATCAGGAAAACCTCTCTTAAAGTAGCCATGCCTTTGCTTCTTTCTAGCAAACAGAACCCACCCAAGAAAATGCCACTACCAAACCATGCTTAACTCTTTTCTTTTGTGTCTAGGATTCCTTTCTAAGCTTTCTCAGGGTTTAAGTGGATTTTACTTGGTCACATGGGTGCCAATTTGTTGGAGGAGAGAGCTGCTTGTTTGTCCCAGCCACCTAGAACTGAGATAATTACACAGAAACTATATTAATTAAATTACTGCTTGGCCCATTAGCTTTAGCTTCTTATTGACTATCTCTTAAATCTTAATTTAACTCATGTCCAATAATCTGTTTTCTACCAGCAAAGATTCAGCTCTTCTGTCTCCGGAGGTGGCTCCATTTGATGGAGGAAGGTCATTGGTTAATTATAATAAAGAAACTGCTTGGCCCTCATAAGTTAAAACATAGGTGGGAGGAGTAAACAGAACAGAATGCTGGAAGGAAGAGGAAGTGAGCTCAGAGGCCATGCTCCCCTCTCCCTGGCAGACGCACGCGATGAAGCAAGCCACCAGACATGCTGAATCTTTCCTGGTAAGACCGGTGCTACACAGTTTATTAGAGATGGGTTGATCGGGATATCAGAATTAGCCAGTAAGGGCTAGAGCTAATGGGCCAAGCAGTGTTTAAAAGAATACAGTATCCGTGTAATTATTTCGGGGCATAAGCTAGCAAGCCGCTGGGGTGCTGGGGACACAGCCCCGCAGCTCCTACTACTACATCCATTAATACAGTTTCTGTAAGCAGCTGGGAACTAACTAGCAGCCTCCTTACTACAGTAGTCTGTGAGGCTAAGTAGGTTTTCCTAGGTCCTCACCTTATTAGCGTGAGCCTCTTTCTATGTTCTCACTTTAGGAATATTTGATCATGTATATTGATATGCCTAGAAATTTGCAATTGAAATTTCAGCTCACATTTTTTTTTGAACAAAAGAGATTTCACATTCTTCCAGCAATGTCTGAGTAGAGCACACTGATGTGGCAGAGGTTTAGCCCCATAGTTTGTTTTGTCCTAATTCCCAAAGCCTAAGCTTCTGGATCTCAAGGCACAGGGTTTAGAGCATGCCATTGTTCTGAGGATCCAGGTTCCCATGGTGTTGGAATGCTAATGTTTTTCCTAAGAATAACAGAACTTCTGGCAGCTTTGTTTAGCAAGTTTTGTTTTCCTGCCTTTTCTGGAGTTGGGAGGTTTTATGGCTTATGTCAGGAAGGAAGGTAGGAGGGCTTGGCTGGCTTCAGTGCTGCTGTCCCTTAACCCTGTCTGCTTTGGTTGTCATCAGAGCTCTTGACACAGCTGCTCCCACCCTGTCTGCTTTAAGGATGCTCCTGAGGGAGGCTTGCTTGAGCAGCTGGTCCCTCACAGGCAGGAGCTCACCACTCAATATGGCAGACATTAGAAAGGAAAACTGGCTGTGTTGACAGTAGTCTTTTAAACTGTTTCACATGCTCAGTTCACTAAAGGTCATGCTTTAAAGCAGACACTGATAACATGTGAAATGAGACATTCAAATTCCATTGTATTGTTTTTCCTTGGAAGTTTTAAGCTGCTTTACTACTGATTTGGTGTACTGAATTATGGTCCTTTTGAAATCCATGCCTTCCCAGAGGTTTACTTATTGTCTTTTTTAAAAAAAAATGTGTTTAGTATTGTGCGTCTACATGCCAGGATACCCTGGTAGAGCTGAGGGGACAAATTGTCCCCTCCACCTCTGCGTGGGTTCCAGAGACAGAGCTGGGTCACCAGGCTGGCACTGCTGGAGTCTTTAGATCACTTCTCCCCACTGAGCTATCTCACTATTCCTACCTATTCTTTTCTAATTGCTTCTTTTAAAAACTGTTTTTAGATGAAGGCTTTCCATTTTAGAAGAAGTGTTAAAAACATTCAAGCTCTTCACTGAAGAAGCCTGGGGACTTTCCTTTGAGAGAAACATGTTTGCAGCTGTCCCGGGTTGTGTAACTTCCCTAAGTTAGTGCCTTGGGTTTGCTGTGACTTGTTCTGTGCCAAGGACACTGGGGAGAGTTTAAAGGGAAAGAAAATGTGAAAACTACCCACAGTGAGAGGACTGCTCTCTCTGAGTCAGCAGAGTCACCCCGGCCTTCCTGTCCTCCAGCATCTTTGCTAAGTAAACAGGGATTTGAGTACTTTACTTTCAGTTTTATTTCTGCAGCACCATGTGATTTTTTTGCAGTCTCTCTCTCTCTCTGTGTGAGTGTGTATGTGTGTGTGTGTGTGTGTGAGAGAGAGAGAAAGAGAGAGTATGTGCGTGTGGTGTGTTAGCTTATAAAAAGAGCAGCATAGGAGCCAGAGGCAGGAAAGCAAAGGCAAGACAGAGGCAGATGAGAACTGTTCATGCATCTGTGGTGAGGACCAGATATATTTACTTTTTCTTCCTTTAAGAAGCAACCCAGTCTGGAAGCTGAAGTTAATTTCCATTTCCAAGAGGCAACTGAAGGACATTCTGGGGAGGCAGGTTTGTGTTTTCTCCTCTGCAGGGGTGTGACTGGCTTTAGGTGTAAGAAGCTCAGTTTCTTTCTTTTAACAAGAGACAGATTCTAAATGGTAGCCTGACACTCCAGTCCACCCTGACCTGGCAACTTCAGCTCAGGCCACTGACAAAAACTCTATGCTTTTTTTCATGCTATTGATTTTATTCTCATATATGAGAGCATATTGAAGAGAACCTATGACATCACCTGTTATCTAAATTTTCAGGATTCTGTACATTCTCCTTCCTCAACACAATATCCTCAGGCTCATCTGTGTTGCAGTGTGCAGTAGAATGTTATTCTTTTCTCTGGTAGAATAATAATCTATCTTGTGTGGGCCATCACACTCTGTAAATCTATATATTTGTAGATAATTTGTTGATGAGAGATTGGGTTAGTACTGTGATGATGGCTGCTGTGATCATTGGTGTTCAAATGTGTCCAAATCCTTATCTGTGTGTTGTATGTAGCTAAAGCAGAGTTCTTGGACCAAAGGTTACTATTCATCATATAAAAAGCCAAGACTGTGTTTTCTAAGATGTAGCATCATTCTCTGTTCTTAGCTGCAGTGCACAAATATCTAAGTGATCTGAATTCTGGTTCACATTTATTTGCTTTCGTTTTGTGTGGTAGCTGTCCTGGTGGGTACAAAGTGACATCTTCTGGTTTTGAGTGGCAGTTCCTCATTGTTTCTTAAAGCCTCATTATAATGCAGTCTGGGTTTGAAAGATTGTTGAGCAATTAAATCAAGTAGGTCTTAAAATAGCCTCATTCTTGTGTAAACTGCAAACACAAGCAAAATCAAGCAAGTGATTTCAAGTAAGTATGCATGTTTCCCAGAAGCAAGACTCAACCTCAGTAAAGTCTAAGAAGTCAAGTCACATGAGATCATGTGACTGTAGATGTTTACACCAGTCTCCAAATCAACAAGACAGAAATCTTGTAGCTAAAGTTTCTTAATTTTGTTCCCACGTTTTCCCAATAAAGCAGACTGACATGTTGCTGTGTTAGCATAGATACTTTATCTTTCAGTCTGCTACTTCCCAGTCTGTACCCTGCATTTTTTCAAATAATTTCTTTAAAATTTTAGCATTGTCTTGTACAGAGTGATTAGCAATGCTGAATGTTTTCTCATGTGCTTATAGCCATTCATAACCTGCTTTGGAGAAATAAGAGTCCAGTGTTCTGCCCATTTTGAAATTGAGTTGTAACTGTAGAGGTTTAAGATATTAATTTTTATTGCATATTTAATGTACAGTGCTTGACACATATTCTTGAATTGCCCTTTTATTATTTTTGTAAATCTGTGGTGCTCAAAAGTTCTTAATTTTACAAAGTAGATTTTTATCTATATTAACTCTGTTGAGATTTTGATATCAAATTAAGAAATAATCTGTCCTTACTATTCAAGTTAGGTAAAACAGAGACCAGGTTAGCCCCAGGCTAGCCTGTTGCAATTAAGGTCTCCTTTGCTTTCTGCAGATAGAATCTGTCAGGTGGAGGAGGGAAGGTAAACAGTCAAAAGTCATGTAAATACCCATGTATTTCACATTGATTATTAATTTGGAATCTTAGTGTTTGTGTAATTCATGGATGTGTTTCAAAGCTCCTATACATTTTCAGCCATTTTAAATTCACAGAGAGAACAAGTGCTTAGAACCCACTGCTCTGCCATTTTGCTGGGTCATTAAGGCTTTGCAAACTCACCTACCTTATTGGCAGGGTGCAGTAACCTGTAACCTGTAGGCTCTTACAGATTGTGGGATTCCCAAAGTAAGGCTTTCATTACAAGGTTTAGCATATTGACAGATTTTGTGAAGATAGCTGTTATTTGGTCTTTATTACATTTGGTCTTTCTTCATGCTGGCAGCCCATGTCTTACATAAATCTTCTTTAGAACTGTGGAAGAATGATAGAGAATGTCCTCTGTATCTGCTTGCTACCTTAGGAAATGTACAAATGTCATCAGTCCTAACTCACCTTGGGCTTGGGTAACACTGAGGTAAAGAATGGCTTTCTATTCTTCTTGCAGATTCTTTTAGCTTGGCAAGTTGCTATGGCCAGACCACAAATGATGGCTCCCATTTGTCTGGTGGAGAACCACAAGGACCAGCTGTCTGTGAACGAAGCAGCCATCGAGATTCTGGACAACATTTCCCAGCCAGTGGTAGTTGTGGCTATTGTTGGATTGTACCGTACAGGGGAGTCCTATCTGATGAATCGTCTGGCAGGACAGAATCATGGTGAGTGGCATGCTGGGTACTAGCCAAATGTCTGACTGTCTTTGTGCCATTATCTTAATTTTGATTCCCAATTAAAACAAAGGAAAGCCAAATTCCTTTCAACCCATCTACCCTCTCATGATAATCTGCATGAGTAATTACTGTTCGCCAATAATCGGTTCCTGCACTCTCTCTCATGAGTGCTTAATGTAAGAGGAGGTCTGCTTGTTCGTCTTGGCCACCCAGTACCGAAATAATCACACAAAAACTCTATTAATTAAATCACTGCTTGACCCATTAGCTCTAGCTTCTTATTGGCTAACTCATACATATTAATATAACCCATTTCTATTAATCTGTGTATTGCTATGTGGCTGTGGCTTTCCGGATAATGTTCCCAGTGTCTGTCTCAGGTAGAGGATCCATGGTTTTTCTCTGACTCTGTCCTTCTTTCTCCCATCATTCAGCCTATCTTTCCCTGCATACTTAAGTTCTGCCTTGCTTTAGGTCCAGAATAATTTCTTTATTCATTTACGGTAAACACAGCACATAGACAGGACTGCCACATCAGTTCAAGACAGGTCCTTTTCTGATTCCCTAAGCAATGATATCCTGTGCATCAATCTCTTGTCTCATACTTCAGGTTTTCTTTCTCAATAAAATATTTCTACCAGGGGAAAGTTGCTTTGAATACATAAGACTTTATACATCATGGGTTGGGCTGGGGAGATGATTTAGGCCACTCTTGAAGAGGACAGGATTTGGTGCCACTACTGTAGTAATGGGGCGGCAACGGGGCTGCGTTCCCAGCACCCCGGCCGCGTGGCCAGCTAGCTTATGCCCTGAAATAATTACACGGACACTGTATTCTTTTAAACACTGCTTGGCCCTTTAGCCCTAGCCCTTACTGGCTAATTCTGTTATCCCGATCAACCCATCTCTAATAATCGGTGAGCACCGGTCTTACCAGGAAAGGTTCAGCATGTCTAACCTGGCGGCTTGCTTCATGGCGTGTGTCTGCCCCGGAGCGGGGCATGGCATCTCTCTCAGGCGTCTGCTCCCGAGAGGAGAGCTGTGGAGTCTGACCTCACTTCCTTTTCCTCCCAGCATTTTGTTCTGTTTACTCCACCCACAGGGCCAAGCAGTTTCTTTATTGCTTAACCAATGAAATCAACAGATTGATATATGACACTCCCACATCACACTACCCATGTGGTGACTCAAAATTTTCTGTAACTCCAGCTCTGAGTGTTTGATGCCATTATTTGGCCTTTATGCATTTGGGGAATGTGCATGGTGCACTTATATATGTGCAGGCAAAATTCTGATATTTTTAAAATGCAATAATTGAATCTTAAAAATTATTTATTTATATGTAAACAAACCATTAAAAACATTTTAAAGGACTTTATATCCTTTTATGGCTGCACACTCCTTTTTGTTTTTGCTTTTCTTTAATAAATTTGAATATAAAAACTATTTTAACAATTTCCTTTTTCTAATTTCCTGTTTTTCTCTTCTTGATTGTCTCTGACATTGAACCTATACCATTTCCAAAAACTTGTAAAACATACCTCTCTTTTTGACTGTCTTGTTTTTTGGCCTGGCTCTAGCTATCTAGTATCAGCTGCTGTCAAACTACTGACAATTCCCTTGCCTCTGTCTCCTGCCTTCAGGGTTGGCAGGTGTGTACAACCATGACTGTCTCAAAAACACTGCAGCCACTAGAGCGCACCATGTTCTTTTGTTCGTGAATGCCTCTGTTTCCATTTGGAGCCCTTATGTGGCATCATTCTCTTATTAAATGCCTACTATAGATTGAAGTAGATGAGTTGTAAACTAATATATTTTTGAGGAAAGATAAAGCACCATTTTTAGTGTTGAGAGTCCCAATACTCCCAATTCTACTGCTTAGATCTGATTTTTGTGTTTATTGTTCTCTTTTTTTGCTTTTTCATGGCCAGGTCCAAAACACCAGAGAGAATATCAATGGAGAAAAACTTACCTCAACACAGTTTTAGAGATTTCACTCCCCAGTGATTGGGTTCATTGGTCCTGCAACTCTAGTGACATCACAGAGGCAGCTGCATGGAAGATAGGTAGCAGAGACTTGAGGAAAGGATTCAGATCAGTTCAGACTTCCAATATCTCTCCTCTTGCCTCTTTATCCTCTGTTGAAGGGAGGCCGATTGTTGGTTCCCATCTGCCCAGCCCTGAAATAATCACAGAGAAACCATATTATTTAAATCACTGCTTGGCCCATTAGCTTTATCTTCTTCTTTGCTAACTCTTACATCATAATCTAACTCATCTCTCTTAATCAGTGCATCACAATGAGGTTGTGACCTACCAGCAAAATTTCAGTGCATCTGTCTCTGGCCACAACTCCATGGCTTCTCCCTGACTCCAGCTTTCTTTCTTCTTCTTTCTTCCATTTTTGTTTTTCTCACCTACCTAAGTTCTGTCCTGCTATAGGTCTCAATCAGTTCTTTATTAACCAGTGGTATTCACAGCATACAGGGGGGAATTCCACATCACCTTTCTTTTTTCTATTTAATTAAAAAGAAGTGTTTTAACTTTAACATAGTCAAATTACATTTAGCAAGACAGGCATCTCAAGCAAGAATTATAGTTACAATATTTATATCAACTTTATCTTTTATCATAAATAAGGAAAACTATAACTATAGCTATAAATTCTTCAACTCCATCAAAGTCTCCAGAAGGATGTAATATTACCTAAGTAAACAGGAAATACATTATAAGCAACTTCTAAAACTCTAGGATTGACAGAAGCATCTCTTCCTGGACAGTTATTCAAAGTTCTTCTCTACATTTGGGCATCTATCTTCAGCCTACAGACTCATATTACACAGCAGACTTTTCCATGTAGCAGGAAATTTCAAAGACAGTTCTGCATATATTGGCAGTTTGTCAGTTACTTTCTTCTGTGTCCTGAAGAATGTCTGATAGACTCTCTCATAAACCATGAACCCTGAAGGACCATCTCACCCATTTCTCTGTGGGTCCTGCATGTCCAGTTCCTCAAGCAGTCCAGGCAAGAGCAGTTTCTTGTCCAAATGGCTAGCAAATTCCACCAGTAGCCTCTTTGATGCCCATCTTTTTCTTGAAGTAATTGGTGCTGTCAGGATCAAATGTGTTTCATTGTCATGAAAAGTCCTAAGTTCTTAAAACATTTAAAATGCCATATTCTGAATGTCTCTGAAAGATTTGTAATCTATCTGAAATATATCTCTACGTATCTAGAAAACCTAATTAATATGACTATAAGTTGATTATTATAAATGGCTATCTATTAACTTATATTTCTTAATTATGCATACACTATTAAGTGAGTTGCACAAACATAATACCTTAATCAGGAGCAATAATACACAACACATTATAACAAAATTGACCTTAAATTTGTATCAATACACCAAGACCCATACCAATGCAAATCTCTATAGCATATCTCCCTTTAAATATTAAAAAAAATATAAACAGTATTTGGGAATATGGGTTTAGTTCTTCTCCAAATTACTTTATGCTTTTTGTTGGTATAGTAATTTTGGAGGTGTTCACAGCAACTTTTTCAGGGTTCTTGATATATCAAACCATATTAGTCTTGAAGCTAACCACTAGTTCTCATCCTCTGTGGAAACAAAAAGAAGAACCCCTTTCCAAAGCAACATATCTTTAGACCCAAATTCTGAAGTCAAGATACCTTTATAATATACATGCTGGTTTACTTTAGCAGTCCATACAATAAAATGTCTCTCTGTACTTAGCTCCTTCACAGTCAAATAATTCAAAGAATAATACACATAATCCAGACTCTCTGTGTATTCTCCATCTTTATGTCACTTATTTTTTCTTTACTCCTTTTAATCTATGACTCTGTGTATTCTGTCTCTTTAAAGACTTTGTTTTATTATTTTATAACTCTCTGTACTCTTTTTCTTCTCTCTCCCAAGCTTGTGTATATTTTAAAAACACACCATGTTTCATTTAGAGGTCTTTTATGTCCGAATCTGTCATATTTTGTATTTGTAATTCTTTACTGTCCAGGAGCACTTCTTAAAATGTTAAGCACTTCTTAAAAACTTAAGCTGCATCATTTCTAGGAGAAACATGTCACTTCCTGCTTTCCCCACCCAGACCCAAATGGTGGGGCTGAGGTCTGTTAAGCGCGAGCCATGCTCACAGCCCCAATTTCAGGCACCCAGTAGGTCTAGGTTACCATTAAGCAAGTGGTAGCAGTCTGCTTTTAAACTCCATTTAAATGCTTGGTCTCTTGAAAGAGCCAGAGGTCATGCTGGAAGCATGGCCCAAAAAGCCGGCATTTCAAAGCTTCAGCTTTTCTGCTACTGCTGAATAAGGAAAACCTGTCTTAAAGGAGCTGCAGCATACTTCCAGCAAGCAAAGCTCATTCAGGAAAATAAATGCAGTTAAACTTTGGTGTTTTTTAGTGTCTAGAATTTCTTTTCAAGCCCTCTTAGGTTTTAAGTGGATTTTAATTGGCCTCATGGATGCCAATTTGTTGAAGAGAGGCTACTTGTTGGTTCCTGGCTGCTCAACCCCAAAGAAATCATACAGAAACCATATTATTTCAGTTTCTGCTTGACCCATTAGCTCTAGCTTCTTATTTGCTAACTCTTACATCTTAATTTAACCCATATCCATTAATATGTGCATCACCATGAGGTTGTGGCCTACCAGCAGCTTCAGCATGTCTGTCTCTGGCAGCCACTCCATGGCTTCTCCCTGACTCCCTTCCATCTAGTCTTCAACTCCCAAAACCTTCAAAATCCTTCAAAATGGTACTGGCTTTCATAAACTGAAATTTTAACACACAAGGCTTCTGGACACCAAAGATTTAGTACACAAGGCTTCCAGGCACTGATGTTTAGCACACAAGACCTTTATGCACTGATGTTTGAGGCTACCTGTGTAGGATGTTCACAAACCAACCCTTATTCCTCACCTCTTCCCTCAGGGTTCCCTCTGGGTTCCACTGTGCAGTCTAAAACCAAGGGCATCTGGATGTGGTGTGTGCCACACCCCACCAAGCCAAAGCACACTCTGGTCCTCCTGGACTCTGAGGGCCTGGGCGATGTGGAAAAGGTAGGATGAGGTTCATGCTGACCATTATGAGCCCTTGTTATCTAATGGATTAATCTATTCATGAATAGATTTAATAGTTCTACAGACTTAACTATGGTGAAATAAATACTGATTTATTTAGATTTCAAATTTAGATAAGTTTATATTTTTGTTGTTTCTCTTGTTTTTAAGACAGGGCTTCTCTGTGTAGCTTTGAAGCCTTTCCTAGAACTTTCTCTGTAGACCATGCTAGTCTCAAACTCACTGAGATTCCCCAGCTCATGGCTCCCAAGTGCTGTATTAAAGGCCTTCACCACTACTGCCCAATGATCAGAAGTATCACATTAGGTGGAATGTGCCTTTAGATTGAATAATTTGATTTAATCCAATAAAATTTATTTATTAGTTAATTTCCCGGATTCTAGGAATAGTAGTTAGATATTAGTGAACAAGATAAAAGTTTTTCCTCCCAAGAACCATCTTAGTTTCATTGAGGATTCTTCTTATGTGTATCTGATATCGTCCAGTACTTGGAAAGAAGCAGGATAGAGAGAAGAAAAGTAGTCACAGGGCAGACTCTGATCTCTGAACTCCAGAAGAAGAACTAGAGAGAGAACTTTAGAACTAACCTGTGTTGGGTCAAAGGTGAGGGAATCCATCTCTATTGCCTAGCCATCTGTTGTCTGAGGTTTTCTGTCCTGCCTGGTTTCTGACTTCCCACCAAATTTTATAGCTGTTTAGCCCCAAAGAAATAAGGTCTATATCAATGATAAACTGATTGGCCCATTAGCTCAGGCTTCTTATTAACTCTTATAACTTATATTATCCCTTTATTCTAGTTTATGTTAGCCACATGGCTCAGTACCTTTTTTTGTGGGGTAGGTCACATCTTGCTACTTCCATGGTTGGAACAGGACTGGGGAGGAATGGGCATCCTCCTTCCCAGAAATCTCCTGTTCTCATTGACCCACCTCTACTTCCTGTCTGGTTGTCCCACCTATATTTCCTGCCTGGCTACTGGCCAATCAGCATTTATTTAAAACATAATAGACAGAATATAGACAATTGTCCCACACCACCCATCACTGGAAGTCTTCCCTGGAGGCCTTTGTCATTCTAAGTACTGGCATAAGAGAGCTGTTACCAATCAGCTCTCACAGAGCTAGATGAACAAGGTCTTCCCTTCTGAAAGGTGAGCCAGGTGGCACAGTGTTACTTCTACTAGAAGTAGTTACATGGAAAGATGTTCCCATGAGAAGGTGAATGACATCACAGTAGAAGGAGTTTGTGAAAGAATGCTTTGATGAGAAGGTGGATGACATCACACTAGGTGCAGTTGGGTGGATGATGCTTTGATGAGAAGGAGGGTGACATCAGCAATCTCAGTTGATGAAGAATGGCTGACTCACCTTCTGAGATACCAAGGTACATTCTGGAAATGGGTTTAACTAATTAGGTTTACATTTTGTGAGTTATAATATTATTGTGTTTAGTGTATGTGTCTACCAATGGGTTTATTCTTGGTTAAGAAAAATAAGGTTTTATCAAGGACCATCCTCTGAAAAATCTCCAATAGGAGCAGATGGCCCAGAAGAGCCACATTTTAGAGAAACTTTGTTGTAGTTTTCTCCAAGTTCTATATCCAGAACAGCTTTAAGACTGCTGGTCAAGATGATTTAGCCTCACAGAATATTCTAGTCAGGACTTGACCATAATTCTAAATTTTATTTGGATCCCCATGAGATTATCAGCACCCCCAATCTGCAGGAAGTAGCCTAGAAAACAATTTCCATATTTCCAAAAATGGATTATGAATGTTTGTCATTGTTTAATGTGTTGGTTACAAGTTGTTATGGATAATGGTCAGAAAAAAAGGTTAATTAAAGGAGATTAGATTCAAGACCATTATATTGAGAAGAAAAAAAGAAAGGGTATAGATATAATCTTGTTTTGTAAAGAAAAAAAAAGCCAGATTTTTGACACTTGCCTTTAATCCCAGCCCTTGGGAGGGGAAGCAGAGGCAGCAGAACTCTGTGAGTTTGAGATCAGCCTGGTCTATAGAGCCAGTTCCAGGACTGGCTTAATAGCTAATGAGAAACCCTGTCTCAAAAATAAATAAATAAATAAATAAATAAGAAAAACAAGAAGGAAAAGTAGGGGGAAATAGGATTGGATAAAAGGGCAGATTATTGAATCTACTCTGGAAAGAAATAGGGAGTATATAGATATAATAAGGTATAAAGGTAGATTATTGAATCTTTTTCAAAAGCAGCTGCTAGCTTTAAATGTTTTACATTGGACTGAACTTTTGTATATGGTATAGAAATGTATATAAATACAAACTTGAAATTAATATTGTTAAATCATACTGTACATACATTTCAAATCTTGTTCAATGTATTGTACTTATGTAACTCATTTAACAATGTAAGGAAAATTTCTAGTCCTTGAAAATTATTACCAGCTATTTAGGATAATAAGGAAGTATAGGTTAGTAGTTAATCACCTAGTATAATCAAACTTGTAGTCTCATAAGGTATGTTTTCAAGATCAAATATATATATTTTTGATAGGTTATCTTCAAAGACTTCAGAGATCTATAGAATATGGCATTTAAGATGTTTTAATAACCTTGGTTCTTGTTTTTTTAATGACAATGAGACATGCCTCCTCATGGCAGCATCAATCTACTTCTGAGAAGATCATGGGCATCCAAAAAACCTCACGTGAACTTTCCTTTCTTTGAAGCAAAAGTAAGCCACTGGGCAAGAATGCCCCAGACAACTGCTGACAGTATTCTGTCCTAATTAGACAAGCAGGACACAAATTATTCTGCTTCACAGAAAAGTCTGTCAGATATTCTAGGCCTATAGGTCAAAGATTGATGTTACAACATTGCAGAGAAACCTTGAGTGACTGCCTAGTCATCCAGCTGTTTCTGTCATTACCCACATATTTGGAAGCCACTTGCTTACAGTTCCTGCTTACTCAGTTAATATTATTTCATTCTTGGTTCTCTGAGGAAGTTGAAGATTAGATTACTACATTTACAGTTTACGAGATGCAGAAAGCTAGTTATGATAGAAAGTAAATTAGATACAAGACTATGGACTCACCAAGGCAGGATAGATATGAAATATTTTCTCTGAATTTGTCAAATGCAGATGAACAAGACACTATTGATGTATTTATTGTCTGTATATTTGTAGTTATTGTACATGATTTTTCTCCTATTAGTTATATACTTCTTTTTATTATAGACAAAAATGGAAATGTAGTGGCACTTTGTTTGTATTTTAATAAATAAAGCTTGCTTGAAGACCTGAGAGTCAAACATCACCACTGGTCAACAGTATACACAGTACCTTTAACACACACCTTTAATCCCAGTTGCCTCACTCGTTTGCCATAGAACCTGGGCGGTGCACACCTTTAATCCCAGTCCTAGAGAGTATTATAAAATGGGAGGAGGCAGCTCTCAGACACAGTCTTATTTTGAGATCCTTGAAGGCAGGATTGCTGTTTTCAGACTGAGTTCAAGGTAAGAGCCAGTGGCTGTCTGCTTTGCTTTTCAGATTTTCAGGTTGAACCCCAACTTCTCAATCTGAAATTTATAAATGATTCTTTACTGTGCCCTCATGTATCTTCCAGGGGGACTCTAAGAATGACTCATGGATCTTTGCCCTGGCTGTGCTTCTGAGCAGCACCTTTGTCTACAACAGCATGGGCACCATCAACCACCAGGCCCTGGAGCAACTGCAGTATCCTTGCAGGACCTGAGACGCCATGTCTTAGTGAGTGTTCTGGAATGCATACAGCAGCACTGACCTGCCTTGTCACCGTGTGGCTTTTGTTGGGGCAAAGGAGACCCAGGGCAGCAAAAACTCTTTATTGTGATTTATTTTTAATAAGAAAATCATGAAAACATGAGTGTGAATTCACCTTTCTTTAACCCAGTGCCAGTTACGTCACAGAACTCACTGACCTGATCAGGGCAAAGTCTTCCCCAAATCCTGATGGAATCAAGAATTCCACAGAGTTTGTGAGTTTCTTCCCAGACTTCATCTGGACTGTTCGGGATTTCATGCTGGAGCTGGAGATAGATGGAGAGAGCGTCACGGAGGATGAGTACCTGGAGAATGCACTGAAGCTGATCCCAGGTAGAGGGAGGGATGGGGTGGGGGACTGGGAAGGGCTGGGATCTGCTGAGTTGCTCCCATCCTCAGGGGGGTCCTTCTGTATTTGCAGTGGGATGGAGGTCTGTAGAAATGCTGATTGTCATTGGCTGGTAATGCCTGGGAACTGGAGTTTGATTTCTTTTGAGAAAAGTAGAACCTGGAACACCACCAAATTATTCCAAATCATGTTCTTTACGGTTTGTACTTTAGCATCTAGAGTCTAAAGCATCTAACCTTCTCCAAGTCCAGACATCTGTCTTGTCTGTTTTGTGTCTGTTTTCCTTTAAGAAAGAGCTGGCTACATAATTCTTATTCATGAATTTGTCATACATAGCCCATCTCAAATACATTTCACAGAGTTATACATTGTTCTTCTTTTGCAGGAACAGAGGTTTTCAATGTCGAATTGGTTATGTTGTCCACAAAAAAGCTATGTTCTAAGTATAATGACAGATGTAATTTTTTGTCTATGCATCATAATTCATCACAAGATGCTACACGTCAGGATCAGTTATATTGTGATCTATAATCTATTTGCATGTATGTTATTAGCATGAATAATGTTACAAAGTGTGAAGCCCATGAAGCCTAGTGAAGAATACCAATTCTGATCTGCTCAGTGTTTTAATTTTTCTGTCTTTGATCTCTCAGAACATTAAAAACATAGTCGGTAGGAAAGCACTCTGTGAAACCAGTACTCACAGTCATAAAATTGGTTATGAAAAGGAAAGTATCCATTCCAGGACACCCCAAGACCAAACTCTCAGTACAAAGAAGAGACAAAGGGCAGGGGATGAGACAAACACAGGAGATAGAGGATGAGTGAGAAGGGGAAGAGAAGGGAGAGGGGACACAGATACTTGTTCCAGAATACAAAGGACTGCCTCTGGATAGAGAGGAAACAGATATGGCACAAAGACAAATGGCAGTTTATAAAATGAAAAAGGAAATTTCATGTAACGATGAGGTCTTAATTTTAATTTGGCATGTTAATTAGGTTCAACAAGGGGGCTTAGGGTTGTTGGCCTTAAATACTTCCAAAGAGGGACCTTGGTATTTGGTCTGAGGAGGATGAAATGGCATAATAAAGAAAATGACTATGGTAGTTAGCTTTGAGAATGTAATCTAAAGATCTTTAGCAAAGCAGAGGGAAAGGGGGAAATGGAAAGTCTGCCAGAACCATGCTCACCACACTCGAACTGTCCAGAGTCCCTTTACTATAATCTTTTATTATGGTTTATTTTATTTTATTATTTTTTTTCTGTTGCAGACAGTTTCTTTACTTATCTATATGCCCTCTGTTGAGGGTCGACATTCTTTATGATACTCTTTTTGTTTTTATCATATATGTATGATTGTACACATTGTCTTCAATTCATAAAATACTTATATGTTTTAAAATCATTTCACATTGAATTTCCTGTTTCCAATTTCATCACTAAAATTTAATATTTGTAAGAACCAGCATTAGCCTTATTCTACAGATGAAGAAACAATAACCAAAATAATGAAGATGAAATTATAACCTATCATAGTTAAATGTTAATGATTTAACTATTTTAACCTCTTTTATTTAATTGGCCAAGTTATAGTTAAATGATCTTTTTTGTTATGTACTCCAAAGTGAGATAGGGAGTATGGAGTATGGATACTATTTGTATAGTTAATAAATAAAAGTGAAGATAACAGTAAAAAAAAACATATATGGTTTACTAAGCCACAGTATGTTGAGGAATGTGTACTAAAAAATAATCCACTTTGAAGAGAATAAGAAAGTAAAATTGTAATATCAGTTTGGCAACTAGAATGTCCTTTCCAAATTTAAATTTAGACCTGATTCTGTATTATTTTTTTATTATTTTATTATTATTATTATTATTATTATTATTTTTATTGTTTATTTTAAAACCAGGAACCAAATGTAGCCCTTAGCTGTCCTAGTGTTCACTATGTAGCCCAAATTACACTGGCCTGGAATTGACAATTTCTTTTGCCTTTTCCTCCCATGTACTGGGAAAGTGTATGTTACCACCCAGCTTTCCTTTCCTTTCCTTTCCTTTCCTTTCCTTTCCTTTCCTTTCCTTTCCGTTCCTCTCCTCTCCTCTCCTCTCCTCTCCTCTCTTCTTCGCTCCTCTCCTTTCTTTTTTTCTTTCTTTCACACAATACACCCTGACATAGGCAAATGCATACACACAACACAAACGTCCACATGAGTGAAAGGGAGAAAAATCCTCAGTTCAGCAGTTTTGTAAAATACTGTTTTAATGTAGCACGTCTGATCTCGTATAGACTTATGTATCCTATATATTTTCATAGACACGTCTTCCTTCCCCAGTTGTGAAGAACACATATTTTCTATGAGTGTATACTTATCATTGACAAGAAATGAAGTCTTTAAAAGTCAAGGTAGTTTTCGTTTGCTATCCATGGCATCATTCTGAGAATTGCTAATGCTGCTATTACTGCTCTATTATCCTTTGTGGGTCTTCTTTTGAGTCCCTCATCTCCTTCTCTACAAAGCGGTGAATGGGTCAGAAATCACATTTAATCTTTTGTTGCTCAGTCAACAGGATCCACAACTAAAATGTGCTTGATGACATGTTCAGGTCTGTGGATATCAGCCGTAAGATCGTCCAGTGGGGTCAAATGTCTCCTCAATATTTCACCAGATGTCTACCAAGTACAAACTTGGTATACTTTTGATCTGTAAAGAAGTGCTGAATGTTTATGGTAGAGACCTGAGAGTGCAGAACACTTCACAGAGACAAGAGAGTCCATCATTTGTTCTATGCTCTAAGACTACCGCCATGGATTTGTGTTTCCCTTAACACTAGGTGACGATCCCAGAATCCAAGCATCCAATCTGCCCAGGGAGTGTATCAGACGTTTTTTTCCTAATCGGAAATGTTTTGTCTTTGACAAACCAGTGCGCAACAAAGCACTTTTACGCAAACTTGAGACTACCTCAGAAGATCAACTGGATCCCATGTTCCAGGAACAAACAAGGGCGTTTGTTTCTTTCATCTTCACCCATGCAAAGATCAAGATGCTCAGAGAGGGAATTAAGGTCAATGGGAATCGTGAGTGATATTTTTTAACACACTTCTGCATAGAATAGTATATGTTGAAATTAGTATGTTTATTTTTAAAATATTATCTATACAATGATAATATGTTTCTGCCCCTACTCTGAAAAACCTATATGGTTTATAATTGATTGTAGATTACAAATTCTTTAAAAATGCAGACTTCATCATTGGTATCTATAGCTCTAACACACCTATATGAATTTCGTAACTGATAATAAAATCTCAAGTGAAAAGGTATTTAATTAACTATAAAATCAGCATTTAAACTTCTTAGCTTGATATATTCTATTTTCAGAGTGGGGATGTTTTGAACATTAATTATTCTTTGAAATGACAATGTGAAATGTAATTTGGAAATTGAAATATTTCCAATATAAGTACTAGTGTTTAAACCATGTAAATCCAGTCTTTTAAGATTTAGCAATAAGTTTTTCCTCCTTATTTTATGCAATCTATTTTCCTTTAAATGCAAAATTTAAGATTTAAAGGCAAAATTATGTTTTTTATAGGTAATTGAATTTTTTAGGTAAAGATTGATATTAATTTTTAACTAGAACTAGAAAACCACCAAAGCAAAGAGACAATCCAAAAAAAGATGATGTCTGTTAGGGGTGTGTTTGTATGTGTTTATGAGTGTTCATGTGTAGTTGTGAGAGATTAAAAATGTAGTCTTAAAATTGAATCCCATTCACTTATAAGTTCAATTTATCCCTCCAACTCCTGGTTCGTGAAGGACTGGGGACTCTGGTGATAACCTACGTAGATATCATCAACAGTGGAGCTGTGCCTTGTCTGGATGATGCGGTGACAACTCTGGCCCAGCGTGAGAACTCAGCAGCTGTGCAGAAGGCAGCTGAGTACTACAGTGAGCAGATGGGCCAGCAACTGAGTATCCCCACAGACACGCTCCAGGAGCTGCTGGGTGTGCACACAGCCTGTGAGAAGGAAGCCATTGCTGTCTTCCTGGAGCACTCCTTCAAGGATGCAAACCAGCAATTCCAGAAGAAGCTGCTGGTAATGTTGGCATCATTATCTTTCATGACTCTGACCTTTCAAGGTTGTGGTGCTGCTGTGCCTTCATGACCCTGGGTGTGTGATTCATTCAAAGATGAGCACTCTGTGTGGTCATAGGGAACACAGTTGTGAAAGACTCAGGCCCCCTTCTCAAACTTTATGTGCTTTATATACAGAAATCTCTAATGAGCCGAATAATGAGTATGTAGTGGCCTAAATTTTTCATGCAGTTAATGTCTGTGAATTGCAGTTCAGCCTAGAACAACCTATAAGTCATCCCTGAACATGTTATATTCTTCTATACCTACAAAACAGTTTCTCACAATAGTCCCACTGCAGGCCACTGCTCTTCCATTGCTTCTTGTCATGTCATTGTGTCATTGAAGATAGAATTATAGGATGTGACCCCAATAGGAACCAGAGATTGTAGCATGCAGAACCATCATTTTTCAGAAAGTCCTGAGGACTAGGAACATCTGGAACATTTCCTGTGTCTTGAACAGATTTCTTAGAGTCTTAATTCAGGTTTTATCATTTCACATTCACTTGTGGTCTTATTACACTACAATAATTTCTTATGGGTAATAGGCTGACTCTTCTACAAAGGTTCTTGGAACTTTAACTCTTCTATTCCTTCAACATGTCAGATCTCTGTCCATTTCCCTTGTAGGAATTAATAGATGAGAAGAAAAGGATGTTCATGTTAAAGAATGAAGAAGCATCAGGTCAATGCTGCCAGGAAGAACTCAATCGGCTTTCAAAGGTTTTTATGGAAAATATATCAACATTTTTTGTTCCTGGAGGACACGGGCTCTACCTGGAAATGAGGGGGAAGATTGAGCATGACTATTGGCAGGTGCCCCGGAAAGGGGTGAAGGTGAGGAGCAGGGAGCATGGGAAAGGGGTGAGGAGTAGGGAGCATGGGAAAGAGGTGAGGAGTAGGGAGCATGGGGAAGGGGTGTGGAGTAGGGAGCATGGGAAAGAGTTGAGAAGTAGGGAACATGGGAAAGAGGTGAGGAGTGGGGAGCGTGGGGAAGAGGTGAGGAACAGGGAGCATGGGAAAGGGGTGAGGAGTGGGGAGCATGGGAAAGGGGTGAGGAGTGGGGAGCATGGGGAAGAGGTGAGGAGTGGGGAGCATGGGGAAGAGGTGAGAAGTAGGGAGCATGGAAGGGAGTGAGGAACAGGGAGCATGGGGAAGAGGTGAGAAGTAGGCAGCATGGGAAAGGGGTGAGGAGTAGAGAGCATGGATGCTCATAGTAGAGGAAAAATGATGTCATAAACAGAAGCATGATAGAAGGGGGGCTGCTTATTGGTTCCCGACCACCCAGCTAGCTGAGACCCAAAATAATCACAGAGAAAGCTGTATTAATGAAATCACTGCTTGGCCCATTAACTCTAGATTCTTTTTGGCTTTCTTATATTAATTTAACGCATTTCTATAAATCTATATATTGCCACATGGCTGTGGTTTACCAGCCAATGTTCCCAGAATCTGTCTCATGTGGTAGGGCATGACTTCTCTTAACTTTATTTTCCTCCTCTCATGCTATAGGCCAAGTCAGTTTTCTTTATTTACTAACCAATAAAATCAACACATAGACAGAAGGACCTCTCACAGCATTTCCCCTTTTTTGTTTAAACAAAAAGGAAGGCTTTAAATTTAACATAGTAAAATTACGTATAATAAAACAAGTATCAAAGAAGAATTACAGTTACAATGTTTATATCTATTTTATCTTTTATCATAATTAAGGAAACCATAGCTATAACCATCAATTCTTCAACTCCATCAAAGGCTCCAGAAGTATATAGTATTCCATAAGTAACCAGGAATTACATTGTAAGCTACTTCTCAAACTGTAGAATTTGCAGAGACATCTTGCTGCCTGGACAGTCACCCAAAGTTCTTTTGTACCATTGGGACATCCATATTCAGCCTTCAGGGCCATAATATCCAGCAGACTTTTCCACAAATCAGGAAATTTTAAAGACAGTTCCACCTATATTGGCAGTTTGTCAGTAGCTTTTTTCTGTGTCCTGCTGAATATCTGGCAGACTCTTTCATGAAGGAGGAATCCAGAAGGATGGTAACCCATTTAGGCAAGTCCAACAGTCATTTCTCTGTGGGTTGTGCATGTCCAGTTCATTAAGCAGTCCAGGCAAAATCAGTTTCTTGCCCAAATGGCTACCAAACTTCATAAGGAGACTCTTTGATGCCCATCTTCCTCTTGAAGTAACTGATGCTTCAGGAGCAGATGTGTCTCTGTCATGAAAAGTTCTAAATTCTTAATGCATTTTAAATGTCATATTCTGAAGGTCTTTGAAAGGTTTGAAGAATGCCTATCCATATGAAATTCATATCTTTTCATCTAGAAAATCAAAGTAACATGAGTACAAACTTGACTATTATAGATGATTATCTCTTAACCTATATTTCTTAATTATACATTACATTTCTAAATGAGCTGCACAAACACAATACCTTAACCAAGATCAAAAATAAATATACACAGTATAAAAAATTGTCCTTAAATTTGTATCAACAAACCAAGATCAATACCAATGCAAATCTCTATAGCATATCTCCCTTTAAATGTAAAAGAACATTTATGAACAATATTTGGGAATATGGGCATAGGTATGTCCAAACTTCATCCTATTGTTTATTCAGCAAAGTAATTTTAATAGGGGTGTTCATGGCAACCTTTAAGGGGGTCTTAGTCCATCAAACCACATTAGTCTGGAAGCAATTAACAGGTTCTCATCCTCTGTGGAAACAAAGGAACCTCTTTTCCAAAGCAACATATTGTTAGACCAAAATTCTGAAGTCAAGATCCATTTATAATATACATGCTGGTTCAGTTTAACAATCTCCAGAATAAATCAAATGTCTCTACGCAGCTAAAAATTCAAAGATAACACAATGATATACATAATCCAGACTCTGAATTTTCCATCTTTGTGTGCCTTATTTTACTCTATTACTTTTTCTAAAAGCTTAATATTTATTTTATTATTTTTACTTCTTTAATCTATGACTGTCTGCATTCTGTCTCTTTAAAGACTTTGTGTTTTTTTGGTTTTTATAAACTATTTACTTCTTTTTATAACTCTCTATACTATTTTCCTTCTCTCTCCCAAGTCTATATACTTTTGTCCAACACTGTGACTCATTTAGAGTTTCTTTCCATCTGGATTTGCCTTTACTACATATCTGTAATTCTTTACTGTCCAGGAGCACTTTTTTAAAATGCCAAGCACTTCTTAAAATTTATGCTGTGCCATTACTAGAATATAAACAGTACTTTCTCCTTGCCCCGTCTAGTACAGCTTGGGGGAGCCACTTGCTTGCACCGCTGAGCCCTGCAGACTGCCCCACTTCCAGGCACATAGCCAGTCCACATTGCCACCAAGCAAGATGCAGCAAGGTGCTCACAATCCCCAACCAAACAAATGCTCAGTGTCCCAGTTTCCTGAAAGAGTCAGAGTTCATGCTCACAAAAGGGAAGCTGCTTTTTTGAAATGGCACTTACTGTTGAATCAGTAAGACCTCTCTTAATGGAGTTGCAGCTTGACACCAGTAAACAGCAAGAAGCTGTGTTAAACTCTATATTTTTGTGTCTAAAATTCCTTTTCAAGCTTTCTCAGGTTTTTAAGTGGATTTTAGTTGGCCATGTTGGCACCGATTTGGTGGATTAGCCAGTCACCCGGCTAGCTTAGACCAAAATAATCACTCAGAAAACTGTATTAATTAAATCACTGCTTGTCCCATTAGCTCTAACTTCTTTTTAACTAATCTCTTACATATTAATTTAACCCATTTCAAGTAATCTGTGCATCACCATTAATTTGTGGCCTACCATCAAAGTTTCAGCACATCTGTCTCTGGTGGCTCCATGGCTTCTCTCTGACTCCACCCTCTTTCTCTCAGCATACAGCCTAGCTTTCCCTGCCTACCTAAATTCTGCCTTGCTATAGGTCCAAAGCAGTTTATTTATTAATTAATGATAATCACAGCACACAGAGGGGGCTCCCACATCATCTCCCCTTTTCTGCATAAGTGGAATAAGAAAACACAAGCATAGCATGGCATCTCTAGCTTCATGTTGGTGTTTGTGGCCAACATTTGCAATCAAGCAAATCCTTTACCCTCAAGCCCTATCACCGGAACTATTCTTGACTGAAATGGCCACTATTTATTGTTAGTTCTGAGAAATATTCACATAAAATTCTCAGTAACAACGTTTTTCAAGTTTGTCAGGATGGTCTACTTATGGGTTACTAGTAAATGTAAGAACACAGCTAACATATTACTCTGTTGTTGTCAACAACACCATGGTGAGTTTTTTCCTCAGACCTTTATTTATCTAAAAGATTTTGGGTGATGCCCTGCATTACTATGAGAGTTTACACATATGTACCTTGAATTCCAAGCAGGTGGAGGGACTTGACTATGAATACAGTCAGCAAGTGCAGAAGGAAGTCAAGCCCTCATAATTATGTAGCCTTTTACATGGGGATACAATATTTGAAAGCATCATAGATTGCATTGAGCACATGTGCATGTGATGTGAACAGGCTGGACCTCGGAGCAGGAGGTAACAGCTGGCTCTAGTGAAGATGACTGGGGAAGCCAAGGACCCAGAAGTATCTATTGCCAGTGAAGAGCAGGGGCAGTCTGCAGGCTTCACCATAGCATTTTAACAGTGAGGCACAGTGGAGACCATGTTAACTCACATAGATTCTCTCCCAGGATCTCTCAAAGTCTTTGCTCCTTCTTGGTCTTGCAGGCAAGTGAAGTCTTCCAGAGATTTCTGCAGTCACAGGCCACCATTGAGAATTCCGTCCTGAAGGCAGATACAGCCTTAACTGCTGGGGAGGAAGTCATTGCAGGTACAGGGGCATGTCTCTTGGCTTTCAGCAGGGGTTAGATTCCCACAAGGCTTCCTGATAGAGGCCACAGTAAACCCATTCCCAGATTAGCAGCTTTCTACCCTTCTGTGGAAGCTCACTCTGAGAGCACAGGAAGTCCAGTCTGTGTTTCAGCCACATGGGCAGGGTCGCCTCCATTCCCTCTGGAAACACTCTCTCCATTGTGTGGACCAGTTTGGAGTCTGTGGTTTCCTTTAAGATCTGCATTGCTCTCTGGGTTCTGGAATGTAGACATTTTACTTGACCCATCACTTTCTTCCTCTGATTCATCCTCAACCTCCCATCACTTTCTTCCCCCTACCCATCCTGAATCTCCCATCACTTTCTTCCCTCCCTGAATTTTCCTGGGGCAGAGGAGCAGGCACAGAAGGAGGCAGCTGAGAAGGAACAGGAGCTGCTAAGACAGAAGCAGGAGGAGCAACAGCAACTGATAGAGGCTCAAGAAAGAAGTCACAAGGAAAACCATGAGCAACTGAGAATTAAGCTGATACATGAAAGCGATCAGCTCATTGAAGACCTTAAAGTAATTCTGGAGAATCAGCTGCAGGTAGGACTCTTCCTCCCCCTGGTGGTTGTCATACCCGAGGTAGCAGGAGAAATTATGTAGCCTGCTAATAAGTGGAAGTACCTCCAAAAGGTTGTTGCTGAGGAGGTTTTCCCTCAGGCTTTCAGTTGCTCCTTTAGGGTTTTAATGATTGTAATATTTTGATACACTAATTCAGGATATTTAAAAACACCCTCATTGGTACTCACTGAACAAACTCCCATCCAGGCAGCTTAATAAGGACAGCAATGGGCCTGGGTTAACAAGGCCCATATTATGAGCACCTGACACCAACCCTCTCAATCTGAGAATGACCTATGCTGACATAAAACTGAAAGAAATATCCAGACTTTAAAGAGCAGACAATTGGCAGCTTCTGCAGGTCCTGTAGCTGTCTCCAGAGTGGACAGCTGCTTGAACTAGCACATGGCAGGAGAATGATTCTCTCATTGCCCAACTTCAAGCAAAATGGTAGCATACTTCTGAAACAACTGATTGGCTGCCACTGTCTGTATATGTTGTTGCCACACTGTTTTAGGGGATTGAGCTCAGCACAATCTGACCAGTTGCTTTTCAGTGGGCATGAGTGTAGGAACGTCTTCACACCTCTGCCAGCATTATAGCCAAACAGACATGATTGATCAATCCCAGTGAAGTTGCACTATCCTTCCTCACACTATGTAGGTCTAATTCAGATGATCTTCTTCATGGAAAGGGAAATCACATAGAGGGTACACTAAGGACCACTTGCTGAAGATTTGAAATTATAACTCATGCAATGTTGGAATTTCACAATATTTACTTCCCTCTTGTGTTCACTGTTTTAGCATCAAAAGAATTGGCTTGAAGAAGGATTTAAGAAGAAATCTGAGGAAATGTGTGGAGAAATACAGCGGTTGAAATCTGACATTGAGGAAATGGAAAGAACAGCAGCTCCATTATGTACACTATTATAAATTAATTTGCTACAGTGATTTGTTCTCCTATTTTATTTCTTGTATAGGCTGTACAATGCATTATTCCACTATTTAAATAAAATTTATTCTTCTGATGCAATAATAGACTGTGAATATATACTCAGTCTTTTTATGAAGCTTCATATTTTCATTTTTGTTTCATGAATATCAACAAAAATAGTGCTAGTTAGAGGACATCTGTGCCTGGCTCAAATTAGATAGACCATATACATATTTGCACAGACAATGGTTTTTTTAGGACAAATTTTTGTTTGTTTGTTTTGTTTTTCAAGACAGGGTTTCTCTATAGCTTTGGAGCTTGTCTTGTAGACCATGCTGGCCTCAAACTCACAGAGATTTGCCTGTAGGGCACAATTTTTTAAAGCATTCCTGTGGAAGCTATGTGATTAGTCATTGTACACTGTCACAGTTACTGTTGGTCAACTTGACTGGATATAGTATCACCCAGGACACAAGCTCTTCTGCACCCTATGATGACCATCTCTCCTAGGATGGCTTGTGGGGGGTCATCTCAGGTTACTATGGTAGAAAACCCACTCCAAGTGTGTGCAACACCATTCCTGTGGACTGGGGACCTAGCTAAAATGTGAAAGCAAGCTGGGCACTAATGTCCATCATTTGTGGCTTCCTGATTGTGGATGCCAGATGGTCAGCCAACCTCCACTTCTTTCTGCATGCCTTCTCTACCATGTTAAGTTGCTGCAAATAGCGCAAGCCCCTTGGTCCTTCCCGGCCGGCTAGCTTAACCCAAAATAATTACATGGAAACTGTATTCAGTTAAACACTGCCTGGCCCATTATATCTAGCTTCTTCTTGGCTAACTCTCACATCTTGCTTTAACCCATCTCTAGTAATCTGTGTATCACCACGGGGTCGTGGCTTACTGGGAAGATTCTAACCTATATCCATCTCAGGCCGGGGAATCATGGCGTCTGCTTGACTCTGCTTCTTTCTCCCAGCATTCTGTTTGGTCTACTCCACCTATTTAAATTCTGCCCTATCAAAAAGCCAAGGCAGTTTTTTTTGTTAACCAATGAAAATAATACATAGATAGATGACCCTCCTACACCACTAATTGCATCATCTGGAACCATGAAAGAGAACAAAAATTTTCTTAGGTTGCTTTTTTTGTGGCATTTTGTCTCAGCAAGAGAAAATATCATTGCTGATAAATCTGGAAACTACTTATGTATCATTGAATAATATTGATAACAAATTTTAATATGTTTTGAACCTGGAGTACTATATAGTCAAGAAAGAAAAGTCAGTTTAACTTCCTGTATACTAATGTAAATTGAGTTTAAAGCTATCTTAGAAAATAATGTGAAAATACGACATAATAGTGTAATTGTTATTAAAAATGCTACTATCCCAGGCAAATGCACAGGATCACAGATGAAGTGCCTCTGTAAGATTAATAAAAATGATCTTTTCTCTTTATCTAGGGAAAAAAATTGGAATCAGAAGTTGAAGGAACACATGCATTTTATTATGTACTCAGTCATAGGATTCATGAACAATACTGGGAAAACATGAGACATTTGTATTTTAAAATAGTGACAATAAGTTAAAATTCACTATTACATGATGACATTTTGCTTTCTGGAAATGAAAGATCTCAGAAGATGAGGATCTGAATGGCAGGAAGCATAACATTTAGATCTTTATGCAGTTTATTTCCTGTGGCTTTAAAAAAGAATAATTGTAATAACATATTTTATGTAACCCAAATATATCAAAATATTTTTTCCACATGCAGTCAGGATAATTTATGCATGCCACTTAAACATTATATTTACTTGTTTGCAAACTAAGAGGGAAGCTGTATTCTAAGAGAAATGATAGTATAGAGTATAAAAGAATACATGGATAAAGTGAGAGGTAGGCTGTTCAGCAATGGCTCTTTGGTCAAGAATGCACACTGCCATTCAGAGAAGCTCAGTTCACAGTATCTGCATGGCTCCAGGGGACCTGACTTCCTTTTCTGGTCCCCAAGGACACAAGTAATCCCATCACATTACCCTGACTCCCACATAAACATACTTAAAATAATTTTTAAAGAAATATACTGTCAAGATTGACAATGGACCATATGACTGGGAACACTCAAGGACCCTTTCTTATTGCATGTATGAATGCAATGTATTTATGTTATGTCTACTCCCCCTCCATCTCCTCTAAAACTCGTTCAAATACCCCTCCCAAGTTCAGAACTTCTGCCGTGTCTTCTTCCTCCTCTTCTTTATCATCTTCCTCTTTCTCCTGTTCTTCATTTATGAATCCAATTGGTGCTGGCCTCAAGTTCACAGATATAGAATATCATCTATTGGAACATGGACAACTTATCATGAGTCACACCCCTGCAGTAAAATACACTTTCCTTCTCGCAGTGGACAGCTATCCACCACTAAGAGTTCCTCAGCTAGTAGTGGGGTCTCTTAAGCCTCACCGTTAAAAGGTATAAATCCTGTGAATGAAGGATCTTGATGCTGTTTAATGTAATGGCTATTCAGAGGTGGCTATAAATATGCCTTTTCAGAATAAGATTCCTTCATGGGGAATGAGATACAAACAAAGGAGTGATGTAGAAGGGTCTTCTGTTTATATGTTACTTTCATTGGTCAAATAAAGAAACTGCCTTTGCCTTTTGATAGGCCAGCCCTTAGGTGGGTGGAGTAGACAGAACAGAATTCTGGGAGGAAGGTAGCAGAGTCAGGCAGACGCCATGCTTCTCCTACCCAAGATGGATGGTGGTTAAACTCATGCCAGTAAGCCACAGTAAAGTGGCGATACACATTAATAAAAATGGGTTAATCAAGATGTGAGAGTTAGCCAGTAAAAGGCTAGAGCTAATGGGCCAGGCAGTGTTTAAATGAATACAATTTGTGTGCTGTTATTTCGGGTGTAAAGCTAGCCATGTGGGAGCTGAGCGGGATGAAACGCAGGCCTGCTCGCCTCATCACTACAAAGGAGCATTCAGAAAAACAAGTTTGGTCAAATGCATTGTCAGCTGTGGAACAGATAGACAATTGATACATAAAAACAAACATCAACCATTGTGTATTTCGATTATTTCAGTTTGGTGCCTGAAATTGTTTTGGGGAGAGTAGAACTACAAGAATTGAGAGGTCTGTGTGCCGGGTTGGCCAATCACATGGGTGTTGAAGTCACTGTAAATGACAATAATAGCTATGGGAAGACAGGGGAAACAAGTCTAAAGTCAACCACCAAGGAGAGAAATGAAGGAATAGTGACCTTGTTGAGGTCAATGTGATGAAGGAGATTGGATATGTATGGTGGTTGAAACACCTCAAGGAGGAGATAGGTGGTGAGTGATTAAACTAATGCAGGCACCTACTTCCAGTTTAGTTCCTAAGATGGAAGGAAGGTAGAACTTCCAGGGTCTGTTTTAGCTAATTTTTCAAAGCAAAATCATCATGAACCAAGCAGATTCTGTGATCCCAAATCTCTAAGAGGGAAGTATGCTTGTGCTGGATGTTTCCCAAAGGCAGTGTGCCTGTCAACCTGATTTCAAATATGGCAGCCTTTGAACATGTGGCCGGCGTACCCCAGTGCATCCATAGAGATGTCACCAGTTCTCAAAACTCCAACTACATACCACACACACACACACACACACACACACACACACACACACACCATTACAGAGAATCTTTGCTCACTACTATGATGATAAACAGAGACCATCTACAACTGGGCTCACAGCAGCCCTAAGAGTGAAGTAGGCAGACAACATTTTTTTTTTTTTTTTTTGTATTTTTCGAGACAGGGTTTTTTCCGTAGATTTTTGGTTCCTGTCCTGGAACTAGCTTTTATAGTCCAGGCTGGCCTCGAACTCACAGAGATCCGCCTGCCTCTGCCTCCCGAGTGCTGGGATTAAAGGCATGTGCCACCACCGCCCAGCCCAGACTGCATATTTTACTACTTTTCAGTGGACATAAAGTCCAATTGGACATCTGTTGGCCACCCCAAGAAATAAGTACTGCTTATGGCAGAAATAGGGATATCCCACCTGACCAATCATTGATGTGGTCATGTGATATATTTATATATTCAATGGAAATATGCCACAGGGAATGCTAATGTCCCCACCTCAAGACTCATTGACACAGTCTTTCTAAGAGTATTTCATTACTAACAAAGGTATTTCAGTACTAACTCTGGTTAAAGAAGTTTAAATGGAACGAAACTGATCACCACATGGGACTCAACATTTTATTTGGAGCGGATTTGAACTCTTGGTACTGGTGGATGTTAGCAGAGATCCATTTATACTCTGAGAAGTGTGATTCCATCACAGGTCTCTGAAGCAGTAGGTCTGGATCTTTGGGAATGAATTCTTGTCTGTAGACAACAAGAGTAGCTGCAGAGGTAGAGGATGAAGCCAGTCCCCTCTCTGGCAGTTGCAGGACATGTGCTGAATGCTGACTCTAGTGAGCGGGAAGAAGAAATTTTAGGCTTAGGAATCTTTTGTCCTTTGGCGAGTCTGTACCTTGACAGTCTTTCTTTTTCTGAAAAATTACATTTGTTAATCCATTTATGCACATGGATATGTGCACGCATGCCATGTTGAGTGTGGAGGTCAGTGGACAGGTTTCAGAATTAGTTCTCAACTTCTACACATGAATCCCAAGGATTGAACTATTTTCTGCTGGCTTGGCAGCAAGTGTATTTCCCACTAATTCATCTTGCCAGCCCCTTCTGGTCAGATTGAATGCAATCTTTTTTTTTTTTGTCCTTCTATCACCATCCTATGGTCTGAAACACAAATTTATAGGACATCAATTGGACCCAAATTGGTTGAATATGAGCACAGAAAAAAAGGAAGACCTATCAGAGAATACTGCTCAAGCCTGAGCCCTCGGCAGATGCATAATTTGTCTAAAGTTTCTATCCATTCTGGTTGCCTCTGTGGTCCTTACAGCCTGATGCATGTATGTGTTCTTTGTGCCTGGTGA